TGGAAAACGAAGCGAGATAGAGCATATGCTTATATGAGATTTTTTGTTTGTTTTGGCTTAAAGGATCATGCCCACGGAGTTGCGGGAGAGTGTTTCTAAACACCCTTTATATAAATACGAGTATATGCGCCATTTTGTATACAACGTTCTGATTTTTGAGCTAGAGAATAATTTTTATTCATTTCAATGCGTTTTCGATTAAGCAAATGATGCCACAATCCTTCCTAGAAAATGTCAGCTAGTTGGGCTGTTTTTGGATATACACGTTGCATATTAAAGGAGTAGAGACGTTACTCGTACATATTGTTTTTCGTTTAGTAATAAAGCTCCAATACTTAAATTTCTTATTACTTGAGGAAGAAGATTTTGTTTTAAGTTGATAGAACAAGCTTAGTAAGACAGGTAAAATGAAAAATAATAATGATTAATACAAAATGGTACATAACTACATAATTACAACGATTCATACTATATCAAATAAGATATTGACTAATCCTAAATAGAGTCTTATAGACAAACCGGTGAGAACTTTAAGTCCAGGTTTTGACTTGGCTTAAGCGAATTTTACGGTCAAAGTAAGGTCTTAGAGGTATGACTTAATTAGGCTTCCAAATAAGTCAGTTTAATTTTGCAAACAGGTAGTTGTGCCTGATACAGTCAAAGGCTTAATTTGAGCTAATTAAATTCAATCTAATTCCCCCTGGAATAAATATGTTGTAATTTTATGATGCTGCAAAATGAAAATATAAGTAAAAAACCGTGCTGAGCCGGTCTTAACTAACTCTTTTTCATGAAAACAAAACTGATTGCGTCGAGAAGGAGGCTCTCAATGACTTGGGCGAGCATGGCTTGATAAGAATGGATCCGTAGTTCTTAACTTCCTCTTCAAACGCAGGGTTGTGAATCAGCACTACAAAAAGTAAATAAAAGTCTGTGTGACATCGTAAAGAAAGTTGCCTGGGGAGCACTAAGTTTACTGAAGTACTTTAACGCGAATTGAGGAGTTTTGTGGGTACGATGTCTGTGCTATGATCCAATAACGCCAGGCTTAAACGAGACTAAGATTTCGTTTATAATTAATACAAGAGGTAAGATGGGTTTGAACATTGAGATAATTGTGTAGCATACATGTCAATTTCAGAGATAAATACGCCCGCTTTATTTGTGGAGCACCAATAATTAGCAAATATCCCCCATAAGGAAGTAGCTATTACCTATTTTTTATTTAGATGACCCTTGAAGCCAAAACACTATTCGTTCAAATTTATATATATTTGGGGATTTTACGGGGGGTTTTATGGGGTAAAAATTGGGTTTTCTCATTTTTGACCCTGAAAACTCAAAATTTTACAATTTCTCTCTAGACCATTAAAAACAAATGATTTAGTGTTATTGTACGCGGTTATTGGTTACGGAGAAAATTAAAAAATATGCAAATTTAAAATTCCCATGTTATCTCTATGGAAATCATTGTAAAATGTTGTAGTTTGCTTGTATATGGAAATTTTTAATGAAAATTGGAAATTTATTTATTTTAAATTAAGCTACTAATATTTTACTAAAATCACATTTTATTAGCCTCCTGTAGCAGCAAACCTAGGTACTTGTTAAACCTAACGTTATTTAAATCGATCTAAAATAATCTTATGGGAATATTGTACAGGGAAAGCCTGGGAGTGGATATGGAGGCTACCGTATTTCCTCGATGGTTTTAAGGATCTATTTGCCACCTTCCATTGCGTACCATACCGGTTGAAGATTTTAACTATTAACTAAGCCGTTAATAACTTCTTGATTGGATATTTAAAAAAAATCTGTAACGAAAGAATCATCTGTCTATAAACAGGTGAACCTTCGAAGCATAAAAAAATTAAAGAGATAAGATAAAATAGACTCTAGGGCTCACACGCTTTGTGGGCACTCTATAACACCAGTAGCTAAATCAACAATGTAATTTTATTACAAAAAAAACCTCAGCTGTTAGTTAAGCAAAATTATATTTTACTGAAATAGTTTTCTCAATTGAAATAGTTAGAAATAGTTATTTAAAATGTTAACGTAAGCAGATAGACTTAGTCTAAAAACTATAACTCATAGTTAACATTTTAGCTTTAACGTTTACTTCCTATCAAAATTATATTTCATTCAAAAGATGGATCATTAAAATTCGTCAAGTAATTGATTCAGAATCAATAGGCAAAAACCCCTTGAAGTTGTAATAATTTACTGTATGAGACAACTTAATGTTCAATGAAATCTCACATATTTAGATTTAGGTTATTTAAATCGATTTAATTTAAAATCAATTTAGGCAAATGGAAATTCGCTTAGTCTACAGGTTTGCTGCGGCGGGGGATTTCGTATTTATATAAAGGTCATCGTGGTACACGAAGAGGATTCAATGACGCCAGGTTTAAATAACGGTTGTCTATAAAATCAGATTTACAAAACATTTTATTAATGCTTTTATTGTTTAAAATGTAACAAAGCTTTTACTCGTCGTTCTCTAAACAAAAACTAGAAGCTGTACAGAATGAAATTGAATTTACACAGACACAAATTGTGTTACATGAACAGAAAAGAGCGAGCACTGAGGTGATGTTGACTCGATATTGTGTCTCGGAATACGATGTTTGGAACAATAACAATCCTGTTGGAAAATTCTGAAAACAAGATTTTTTTTCTCAAACCTCTTATTTGAACTAAAGGCAATGACGAAAATAAATCAATGAACCACTAGTCATGTAGTGGCACTAGCCACCACTAGTCAATGTTGATAGTTGACAGCTAGATGATTTGATTTATAAGCTGTGTTATATACTTTGATGGGTACCACTCTGTTCAGTATTCAGTGTAATTAATTGTGATTTGTTATAATAATACTTTCTATCAACTAAAAATAAATACAGATGGCATTGGTTTTTAATTTGTTTTAATGTTTAAAACAACATATGGGATTTAACAATGAAATAATGTATTAGTAATTTTTGTTAGTTAAAAACAAACACATCAAGACTCAAGATCCCTCTCTCTTCTGTAATCTCTCTTTAAAGTTCTGTAAAATCATTGAAAGTTTATTTGTTAATATTAAAACTATTTGTTAATTGTATCTCAGTGTTCTAATTTGAAGAATGAAAACTCCGCTTAACTTATAAATATACAGTCCACTCAGTCCACTCCACACGCTACCGAAATTCTACATGGTCCTTCGAGCCGGATCATCTGAAATTCAGCTCTTTTGGTAACTATAAGTCACAATAAGTTCTACTCCAACTCCAACTTGCAACCTTAAAAATGAACTACTAACTCCTTTCTCATAACTAAGAAGTAAGAAGACTACCAAGACTACTGTAGATCTAAAAGGTCACTATCTAAAGGACTTTGATTCAAACTTTGATTCCTCTATATTTTAAGCATATTGTTTTTGTTGTAATTTATCAATTCAATTGACATTTCAATTTGTATCAAACTGTACAATTTGGTATTTTGTAATGCTCATAGCAACCACTAATAGCTAATGTAACAATGCCATCTGTTATCTGTGTCTCGTATTGCAGAAAATATTGACAATCTCTAATCTCTCTCTCTCTGAATACTCAGAATAATTGTTTTGTTGTACAACAAAAATGAAATTCGTCACTCTCTCTAGGCAATTAAACTCAATTGCAAATCGTTTAGCCAAAATCCAAACTAACATCCAAGCTTTAGATTTATTACCTGAATTGTCCCAAGAACAAATAAATAAGTTGAAACTTTTAGAGTCAGAAACACTTAGAAAATACTCAGAATTTGAAACCTCCCTTGAGAAACTATTCAATAGTGACACGCTTCCCGATGATTATGAAGAAGATACACTCTTTCAATTACAAGATACTATATCTGACTTATATGTAGGAATTCAAACTCTCACGAAGAAACACCTTTCTCAAGATCCTACAAGTCATAGGCCTGTTCTAAACACTGACTCAATAACAAATACTCCATCAAGTAGCCTACCCCATAGGCCTAGTAGCTCTTCCTCAAACCAAGATAGCCACTCTCTAAAACTCCCTCCTCTATCTCTCAAAACTTTCAATGGTTCACCGGAACAATGGTTATCTTATGTTAGCCTGTTTCAAGTATCTGTTCATGATAATGAAAACATATCCAAAGTTGAGCGATTTCAATATCTGCTTTCTACTCTACAGGGAGAACCTTTCAATCTTATAAAGAATTTACCAATCACAGCTGAAAACTATGATGTAGCATGGGATCTTCTTCAAAAACGGTATCCAAACAGTAGGAAAATCATAAGCATACACCTCAACAACATAATAGACTTACCTAACCTAAGTGACTCCTCCCTCAAGAACATTCGCTCGTTCATTTCTCAGTATAACGAAAATGCCCAAGCACTCATTGCACTCAATCATGACATAGCCAAGGATAATATCTTGCTCTCAGCCATGTTACTAAGGAAATTACACGCAGACATTCGCAAAAAGTTTGAAAGCTTACGTCTAAATTCTCAAGACCTTCCAACCGTAGGTGAAGTAATAACATTTTTAGAAAATGAATGTGCTTACTTAGAAGCTGCTAACCTCTCTAACTCTCAGTTCCCTAGAACTACTTCAAGCAATAGCAATGTAGGTTTCACTCAAAATAGTAAGAGGTCCAGCCCTCACTCCTATCAGATAGGCCTACATAAGTCTACACCGAACCGCACTACTTTACTAGCTTTCAGAGACTCAAACGCCACATGCACATTTTGTAGTAAAAGTGATCACAACATTTACCAATGTTCAGAGTTTAAAGATTTGTCCGTACAGGAAAGATACAATTTTGTGAGGAAAAACCACCTTTGTTTGAACTGCTTAGGTACCGCTCATTCTGTCAAAGACTGTAAGTCAAATAAAACATGTTTTCACTGTAAACTGAAACATCACTCCCTCTTACATACAACTAATAATAGGCCTAATGATAAGCTTACCGGTAATCAAAAGCCTAAAGATAATGCTCCGATGCCCAAGGAAATGAATAAAACTTATGATCACCCTGAACCTCCCTTTGTAGCTGTCTCCTCAAACCCTAATACCACTATATTGCTAGCCACTGCATTGGTACACTTGAAAGCTAATAACGGTAACACAGTTGTAGCCCGAGCCGTTATTGACTCCGCATCTATGGTAAGCTGCGTAACAGAAAATATTGCTAACCTGCTTATGCTTAAACGGACATTTTCCAGTAATTCCAAGATAGATGGCCTATCATCAGTAGAAGTTAAATCTAAAGGTGTGTCAAAAGTTAACATATCGTCTCTTAGCGGAGAAATGATTGCTGATAACAACCCAGTCCTTATTCTAGACAGAATAACCTCAAACCTCCCACACTCAGAAGTTCCAGTTAATGTTAAAGAATACTTCAAACATTTGGTCCTGGCTGATCCAACTTTTCATTTGCCTAGTAAGATAGATGTGCTCATAGGTGCTGATCTATTCGCTAAAGTAATCACTGGTGAACGCATCATCATTAACAAGGATCTTCCTGCTGCCATGAATTCTGTATTTGGATATCTTATCATAGGATCTGCCCCAACTCTTCCTGCTGTAGCCCCTCAAAAAACAGCCCCTCAATGCAAGGGTAATGTTTCTTTATTAAGTACTCAAGATATTGATTTGCACAATTCTCTGCAGAAATTTTGGACTCTAGAGGAACCTCCCATCAAACTTCATGTAACATCTGAACAAGAAATTTGTGAACATCACTTTCTAAACACGGTCTCTAGGGATTCAGATGGACGCTACTTTGTTAGGCTACCCATAAAAGAAAATCACCCCCCTCTTGGTGACTCATCATTTTGCGCTCGTAATAGATTCCTATCACTTGAAAGAAAATTAGAAAGTCAGCCTGAAGTTAAAGCAGAGTATAGTAAAGCCATACATGATTTATTGTCATCTAGTCACATGGAACCTGTTAACCCTCCTCCAAACAGTGATAATAAACAATTTCACTTACCTCACCATGCTATTGTCAAAGTAGATTCCTCAACCACCAAGCTTCGTGTAGTATACGATGCAAGCGCACGCAGCTCCTCAGGTGTCAGCCTTAACGATATTCTACATACCGGGCCAAAACTACATAATGATCTTAATGATATTCTGTTAAAGTTTAGACTTTCCCCTATTGTCTTCTCATGTGACATCAAACAAATGTTTCGTCAAATAATGATCCACCCAGATGATAGAAACTATCAAATGTTGTATTGGAGAGATGACAAAGACGACCCCCTTTCAGTTTACCGTTTAACTACAGTTGTGTTTGGATTCAACTGCTCACCCTACTTGGCACTAAGGACACTTCACCAACTTATCACTGATGAAGGCGCAAACTTCCCTCTGGCAGCTGAGGCTTTAAAGAAACAAGTATATGTAGATGATTTAATATTAGGTGCCAACAGCATAGAACAAGCTTTGGTACTAAGAAATGAGGTGGAACAACTTCTTTTAAAAGGATGTTTCGAACTGAGGAAATGGACTAGCAACTGCCCTCAAATCATGGAAACTCTCCCCGACTCTTACAAAGAAACTCCTCTATATTTCAACTCCTCAGATCAACCTTATTTCAAGGTACTAGGTATAAAATGGTCACCTAACTCAGACACTTTCTCTTATCAGTTGAATATCCCAGACACGCCTCCCACTAAACGAGGTATACTTGGAACAGTTAGCAGAATATTTGATCCAAACGGTTGGTTGACTCCAGTCACTCTTTGGGTAAAAGCGTTGATACAAGTTTTATGGGCACTAGGTTTATCATGGGATGCGCCTGTACCTCCGGATCTAACTGAAAAATGGTCTAAGTTCCTCCAACAACTCCCTTTCTTAAGTGAACTTAGCTTACCTCGATATGTTTCCGTAGCTGATGCTGTTCATATCAGTTTACATGGATTTTGTGATGGGTCTGAAACAGGTTACGGAGCTTGTGTCTACTTGCGATGTGTAAGTTCTTCCGGAGAAATCAACGTACATCTGTTAATTGCCAAAGCTCGAGTAGCTCCTCTTAAGAAGATCTCCATCCCTAGACTAGAATTGTGTGGTGCCCATCTTTTGTCCAAACTCCTGAACTATTGCAACTCTCTACTCTCTCAAGATTATCTTGTCAACGAATTACATGCTTGGTGTGATTCATCTGTAGTCTTGTCATGGATAAAAACTGTACCCTACCGCTTAAAAGTTTATGTTGCAAATCGAGTCTCAGAAATTCAAGAACTTACTCCTACTTACATATGGAAACATGTCTCAACTCATTGTAATCCAGCTGACATTGCCAGTAGAGGAACCCTTCCCATTTCTATGAAAGACAACAGTTTATGGTGGAACGGTCCCAATTGGTTATCTCTGGATCAGGAATCATGGCCTATTCCTCGCTTCACCCCTCTCCAAGACGAACAATTGCCAGAACGTAAGGTCGAACCTTTACCAATAATGGTTACAACTAAAAAACCAGACTTATTCAACAGGTTTTCATCTTGGTCAACCCTCCAGCGAGTCATTGCTTACGTTCTACGCTTCAAAAATAACCTTACAAACCAGGTTAAAGAATCAGGGTTTTTAAAGCTTGAAGAGCTTGATAAAGCAACAATCACTATCTGTAAAATGATTCAGCAAACTGTCTTTTCTGAAGATATTTCTAGATTGAAAGATGGAAAACCTTGTTCCTCTCGTCTCGCGTCTCTCTCCCCCTTCTTAGACGAAAATGGATTGATTCGTGTTGGAGGCCGCCTTAAGCACTCTCAAGTATCCTACGCTGCAAAGCATCCTATTGTATTGCCCAAAACTAACCATGTCACCAATCTCATCGTTGATCATTACCATTTGAAACACTTGCATGCTGGACCTCAGTTTTTACAAGCCGTTTTATCTCAGAAGTTTTGGATCCTATCTGCTCGAAGTATTATTCGAAGAAGAGTTTACAAGTGCATCCGATGCTTCAAATGCAATCCTAAGACAACAACTCAGAAAATGGGAGATCTTCCTCCACAACGAGTCCTACCCTCAAGAGTGTTCAACAACTGTGGGACGGACTTTTTAGGCCCATTCTCAGTTAAACCTTGCAAATTAAGGAAGTCCTGTCCAATCAAAGTATACGTTTGTATCTTCATTTGTTTTTCTGTCAAGGCTGTACATTTAGAGGTTGTTACAGATCTCAGTTCCGAAGCTTACCTAGCAGCATTGACGAGATTTGTCTCTCGACGAGGGTTGTGTAGCAACATCTACTCGGACTGCGGAACAAATTATGTAGGTGCCGCTAATGAAGTTCAAAAGATTGTTAAGAATTTCTTCGTCCAGAAAGAAACTCAAGAAGCTCTTAGTAAGTTTGCAATGGAAAACAACATTACATTTCATTTCTTACCCCCCGCAGCTCCACACCAAGGTGGCCTTTGGGAGAGAACTGTCCGCAGTGTCAAACACCATCTTCGGAGAGTCATAGGCGAACAGATTCTTACTCTTAAAGAGTTCATCACACTAACAACTCGCATCGAAGCAATTCTAAATTCACGGCCCATAACCCCACTTTCATCTGACCCCAGCGAAATTGATTGCTTAACTCCTGGTCATTTTCTGATTGGAGGACCTCTTTTATCTCTTCCCGAACCTGACTGGAAAGATGTCTCAACAAACAGATTGTCAAGGTGGAAGTTTGTTCAAGCCTTAACCCAAAGTTTTTGGAAAAGATGGCAAAAAAAATACCTCTACACGTTGCAACAACGAGGGAAATGGAGAAGTCCTCAACCTAACATAAAAATTGGAGATCTTGTCCTATTGCATGAACCAAACCAACCTCCCCTTTCATGGCGAATGGGACGTGTCATTTTAACTTCCCCAGGGCAAGATGGTCTTGTACGAGTTGTACAGTTAAAAACTTCATCAGGAACACTCTCCAGACCTATAACTAAAGTCTCACCCCTACCAATCAATGATGAATGACGAAAGAAGTTAGACTGTTAACCATCAGTTTATTGTAAATAATATGTTCATTTCTAAAATAATTTTTTTCTCAATACTTCATTATTAGGTGAACCCCTCTTAGTGGTTCACGGGCGGGGGTATGTTCAGTATTCAGTGTAATTAATTGTGATTTGTTATAATAATACTTTCTATCAACTAAAAATAAATACAGATGGCATTGGTTTTTAATTTGTTTTAATGTTTAAAACAACATATGGGATTTAACAATGAAATAATGTATTAGTAATTTTTGTTAGTTAAAAACAAACACATCAAGACTCAAGATCCCTCTCTCTTCTGTAATCTCTCTTTAAAGTTCTGTAAAATCATTGAAAGTTTATTTGTTAATATTAAAACTATTTGTTAATTGTATCTCAGTGTTCTAATTTGAAGAATGAAAACTCCGCTTAACTTATAAATATACAGTCCACTCAGTCCACTCCACACGCTACCGAAATTCTACACACTCATTGTCGCCAGTACAAATTTCAGTATTTTTTTTATAGGGATAACATTTGTATATAATACTTAAGAACTACCTGATTTTCTGCATAACCCCTCTGTCACAATTTTATTTGCTTCAATTGGCATTACTTTGGCTAACTACTGTTATAACGTAAATTATATTTACCTGAAAAAATGCAGAGTTGAAAGGCCTGATGTTGTTCAAATTGTTTTTTGTTTACCTTAAATGTGAATAATAATGTGAATACTTCAATAAAAGTTTTATTAAGGTTTCCTTGATGTAGACATATTCTTTCAAAATCACTTGGCTTTTATGAAAACATATATTTAATGTCCTTATGCAATACCAGTTTAATTCAGCCTTAAAGGGGTCCCATTGCAATCATCTCAAAGTCAAGTCTATGTTTACTACAAAAATAGTTGCACTTCGGCTAACATCCTTGTTTATTGTTTGCGGGAATCTTCATATTCATATTGTAGGTGTTCTTCATTAGTAAATTCTTAAAAAAAAATCTATTTCTTTTACTTGGTGTCGTTTTATGACTTTCCTGTGTTTCCATGGTTAACAAATCGGTTCTTTCAATGATTGCTCAAGAAATACAATACTATGTCAATATTTCTTTTTTTATTTGGCAAAGTATATCAATTTGTCCAGGCTTTCTCGATTTTTACATTGTAATATTTACGCATGTAAATTAAAATAGTAGTTAAAGAGACTTTTTCAAAAATGTAAGGTCAGTTTGCAAATCTACGCAACAAGCTCTTTTCAATGAGATGTCAATGGTAAAAATATGTTAAGAAATGACGGAGGAGTTCAAAAGACAAATTTCGTAGATAGATATAAATTATAAAAGATCTATGGTTGTATGGTATGTATGGATTGTATGGATGTATGGTTAGATTGTAATGTAAGGAAATTGACCCTTGTAGTAGATCCCTTAGAAATCCATACATTCCAATAATTTTCAGCGAATCTATACAGACTAAGATCCATTTTATGTGTTATGTGCCTGTATGTTTTAATTTGATAATGACCTTAAAGAATATCAAAAATTTTACCTTACCAGTTTAGTATCATAATAGATGAGCGTAACTTCACTAAGCAAAATTGTCTGTATTTCAAATTAAAATGAAGTGTGCATGAACGTCGTGATAATAACAAATCAGTCTTGATGACATGCGAACTAGTCATAGTGTGACCTTTCGTGACCGGCCTTATCCGGTCACAAATTAACACAGGTACTTAACGAAATACAGGGTGATTTGTACTCAGTGTGACAAAATTTTTTTTATGTAAGTACAAAGTAAATGAAGTGTGATGATGCATATCAAATGTTCCAAGTCTAAAAATAGCGTCCCAAAAAATTATTTTATGTTTTTCAAAAATAACCATGTTTTTATATTTAATACAGCGATTTCTCAATCACCTGTATATGGATTTGAGTAGATAATCTCATTTTCGTGTTCTACATTACATTTTGAACAAGAATAATGGAAAATGATGGAGGATCAGTTGTAAAAACTCCATTGTAAATAGATTCAAAGATAAAAATTAAGATGTTTGATAAAAATTTTAAAAACAATGGTCTATTGCATTTTTCACACCCTGTATACAAGAAAGTGTCGGAATATGTTAAAAACTGCGCCATTTTATAAGCTTTCCAACCATATGCTACACTATTGAGGTTTAGATATTTTTTGTTTGTTTTAGTAGTTTAAATACCAGAAAACAAAGAACTTTTTTACTGTTTTTACTGTTCAAGCTGAATCAAAAATACAACTTTTGCTTAATACATGCCGACTTTCTATGTTTTAAATGTTAAAGACACCATGCTTTGTAGTCTTCAAACCATTAAAGCGTACATAAGCAGACATAAATCTCAATAGTGTAGCATATCGTTGGAAAGCTTATAAAATGGCGCAGTTTTTAATATATTCCGACACTTTCTTGTATACAGGGTGTGAAAAATGCAATTGACCATTGTTTTTAAAATTTTTATCAAACATCTTAATTTTTATCTTTGAATCTATTTACAATGGATTTTTTACGACTGATCCTTTGTCATTTTCTATTATTCTTGTTCGAAATCTAATGTAGAACACGAAAATTACATTATCTACTCAAATCCATATACAGGTAATTGAGAAATCGCTGTATTTGGTTTAAAAACATGGTTATTTTTTAAAATCATAAAATAATTTTTTGGGAAGCTAATTTTTAGACTTGGAACATTTGATATGCATCATCACACTTAATTTACTTTGTACTTACACCAAAAAAGTTTTGTCACACTGAGTACAAATCACCCTGTATGTGAGATTTCATTGAAAATTAAATTGTTTTCTTATACAGTAAATTTATTTATTTATTTATTTATGACAAAATAAAAAAAATATAAAAAAACGGTAGAAATTATTACAACTTTAAGGGGTTTATTGTCCATTGATTCTGAATCAATTACTTGACGAATTTTAATGATCCATCCTTTGAATAAAATATAATTTTGATACGAAGTTAATGTTAAAGTCAAAATGTTAACTTTGGTTTATAGTTTTTTAGACAAAGTCCATCCACGGACGTTAGCATTTTGAGTAACTATCTTATATACTAAAACACGTTTGCAAAACTTATGACAGCCTGACCATACTACTGGACCGAATCACACGTGGTTGGTACCAAATGAAAGATATTTTCATGTAGATGTGCAGAATCCCTTTATAAATTAAAATAGGCTCAAAAATAAGCACAAACAAGGAATTTAAAATGTCAAAAAATTAACATGGGCCTTATGGGTTGTCATGTATGGGTTATCATGTTGGTGACGAAATAACAACAAGATATAAACGGAAAATCAAAACAAATTGAAGAAATTCCAATGACATGTTATATTTATAGCGTGGGTTGGAATTAGAGAAGCTTGCACAATACATACTTTTGTTCGAGTTTTGACCACGGGGAGAGCTCTCGTTTCTAACTATTTCTATTTAGAAAACTATTTCGGTAAAATATAATTTTGCTCAACTAACAGCTGGTATTTTGTAAAAAAAAACACTTTCTTGATTTAGCCACTAGTGTCATAGTGTTCCCACAGAGCGTGAGAGCCGTACCGTCTATTTTATCTCATACCTTTAATTTTTTATGCTTCGAGGGTTCAGCTGTTTATAGGCAGATTCTTTCGTTACGGATTTTTACAAAATATGCAATAAAGAAGTTATTAACGGCGTAGTTAATAGTTAAAATGTTCACCGGTATGGTACGCAATGGAAGGTGGAAAAAAGCTCCTTGAAACCAGTGAGGAAATACTGTAGCCCCCATTTCCACTCCCAGGCTTTCACTATATTCCCATAAGATTATTTTAGAAAATGAGTTGGAGTTTGCTTGTTTATCGATACGTTTTGATGAAATTTGCATTTTTGATATATTTTACACTAAGCTATCAGTATTTCACTATTAATCACTATTCCTGTAGCAGTAATCATAATTACTCATTAAACCCAATGTTATTCAAATACCCCCGCCGCAGCAAACCTGCCGTCTTAGCGAATTTCCATTTGGCTGAATTGATTTTCAATTGATCTATTTAAATAACAACGAGTACCTAGGTTTGCTGCTACAAGGAAACTAATAAAGTGTGTGTTTTAAGTAAAATAATTATTGCTTAGTATAAAATGAATATATTTTTCAAGTTTGATCAAAAGATATCCATAAACAAGCAAACTACAACATTTTACAATATTCTCCATAAGAATAACATGGGAATTTTAAATTGACCATTTTTTTAGTTTTCTCCGTAACCAAAAACCGTACAAAAACACTTTGATATACTGAATTGTTTGTTTTTTTAAGCTCTTTAAGAAGGTTTGGAGGAAAATTGGGAAATTTTGTGTTTTGAGGGTCAAAAGTGAGAAAAACCAATTTTTACCCCATAAAATCCCCCATAAAACCCTGTTCCCATTGTCCGATCATGCTGGATCGCGAACTCATTCAAGTTTATCCCGCCTTACACCTTTAAACCAAATTTCATCAAAATCGGATGAAAATTACTCAAGTTATCGTGTTCACGGACACACACATATATATATATATATATACATATATAAAAATTTGAACAAATGGTGTCTTTGGCCTCTGGGGACATCAAAATGAAAAAGTAAATCGGTCCCGGGGCTAAGTGTTACCATGAGACCTACGGTAATTGCTACTTCCCTATAGGGAAATTCGCTAAAAGCTTATCAATTTGTCAAATTTGAGGAAATATTATGGTGAAAATCCAATCTGTACAGATTTTGTTATAAAATTACATCGATGCAAATTTTAATGATAATATACACCTTAGTATAACAAAATTTGTTTATACTCAATTATAAAATGTTATAAAATCCCATTGTGGGTTTACATTATTTAGTCTCTTCTGTTTATTTCCAGTATGTCGACCAACAGTAACAACAAAACAATAAAACCTTCCAGCGATTCGAGTAAACACAATCAAATCAGCGAATTGTCAAGTTAGCGT